GTTGACGGTTTACAGCCGGAGCCCAGTCGGGAAGGTTTACCCCTAAAGGGGTACGATTGCAAACGAATACATCGGGCCCACATCGAGGGTTTGAGATGTACAGGCGTAAGAACGAACAATCTTACAATGGCTGTTGAATCCGTACTCCAAAAGAATCATTATCCCACCAGCCCTGTGAGAAAGGTGGTCTAGCGATAGTATTCATCTGTCCTCTTGTACAACCCTCTTCCCTTCGGGGAGGTTTACCACCCCCTCCCTGAGGTCTTTTTGAGCGGGACGCGATGTGGCAGAGGGTACTTTGTCGCCTAAGATGGCTCCAAGAGGGCATCCGATGCTCGAAGATGGCTCAAGATAGCTGGCGATGGTTCAAGATAGCTCCCAGCATACCTGCAAGCGGTCCGACGAGGGCCACAAAACGGTTCCACGTGCTCTCGGAGCCTCCTCAGGACCCTCCCAGGAGGCCCAAATCCTTCAAGCACCAACGGAAAATCTATGATTATTGGCATCTCGCCTTTTCGCTTCCGATGCGCTTTGAGGCCCCAAGATGGCCCAACAGAGGTCCAAAAGGGGTCCAAGAGGCCCCCCTACCGCTCCGAAAGCGCCCAAGACTGGCCCAAGAGCGCCCCGAGAGGCGATTTTGATGGCCCCAGAAGGGGGGGAGGGGAGGGGGGGAAACGTTACGATCCCTCTCTTTTCACCGACGCCCTCCACGATTGCCCTAAGAAGGCCCAAAGGGAGCACCAAGAAAGCTCCAAGAGGGCCGTAAGAGGGCCCCAAGACGGCCCCAAGATGGCCCCAAGAGCGCCCCAAGAGCGTCCTACGTGGACCCCAAGAGGCGTTTTGCTTCCTCCTTCTCCTCCTCCTCCTCCTCATCCTCCTCCTCCTCCTCCCCTCGCCCCTCCGCGGGCCCCAGGGATGGCCCGAAGGAATCCTCCAAGGCCATCCCCTTGCTCACAGCGATCTTTCTGTTCATCCTGGTTGCCCGCTTTGTTTCACGAGATGTATATCTTCGCCCCTTTTCCCGTCAGCTCTCCTGGGCAGCGTTTCCGAACGGGGTCTACAACAACAGCGGCTCCCGTTTTATTTCTTCCCCACAGTTTCTTTCCAAATCGCGTTCTCGCGCGGAACTTCCTCATATACTGTATTCAGGAATCGCGCTGGCGCGTGGGACCCCCTCGCAATTTATTCAGACGCCGCGCCCTCGAGACTCAAGAATCACGCTCTCGCTTTGGTGTTTCTCACGAATTACTTGGGAATCGCGCTATCGCTCGAAAATTCTTTGCGTTTCATTGGACACTCCCGCTTCAACTACCCGACTGCTCGACCCGGCCGCCTGGGCCTGCCTTCCCAGCCCGCCCGTTAGGGTTTACGATCTGCCCGTCTGGTTCTGCCACGTGCTTTCTGCTCCTAACCCCCCTCCTGCTAATTTCTCTCGTGCTCCATCCTTCTCCCTCCCCCTTGGCCCTTCCTTCCATCCGTCCTCTCTCCCCTTCTTTAGGGACTGCAGCCAATACACGTGGCAGGAAAAGACGATATACCCCTCAAGGGGTACGATCGAAGACGGAGAACGCGGGTATCGATGGCTTGGGATATACGTGTTGAATCGTACGCGAGCAGAAAAGAGCGAACAATCTTAAAATGCTCGTTGAATTCTCGTTTCGGAACAAAAATGCTTGTTGATTCCCCTCCCGTACCCACTGTGTTTTTTCGATCCATGTGTTCCTCCCAGGGCTCGTACTTGGTTTTCTACGAAGGAATTCTCGCGCTCTAATTTACAACAACAGCGGTTCCCGTTTGATGCTTTCCCCACACTTTGCTCAAAATCGCATTCTCGCGCACACATTATCCAGGAGTCGCGCTCTCGACACTCAGGAAGCACGCTCTCGCGATTCATTTTGGATTGATTCTTCAGCGACCCGCCCGCAAGAGCTTGCCGTCGAGGCCTGCCCGCTCGATCCGCCCATTAGGGTCCGCTCCTGCACAGGTCTCTCGTGCTCTATCCTTCTCCCTTCCCCTTGTCTCTTCCCTTCTTCCTCCCTTAGGGGCTGCGCCAACTACACGTGGCAGGTCAGGAAGATATGCCCCCAAAGGGGACACGATCGAAGGCGAAGACACGAATTATTATTGTTGAACTCTCATCTATCAAAGATAAATATTGATGCCCCCCGGCTGCCCATTGTGTTTTTCAATAAAAATGCTCCTTCTGGGGATCGCACCCTGTTGTTTTTACAATGGGAAAAAAGGTTCAGAATGAGCCCCTCGCTTCCTGTTTACAACAGCAGCGGCTCCAGCCTGATAAGCGGCTCCAGCCTGATACTTCCTCACAATCTATTCTGAAATCGGGCTCTCGCGCTCCCAACTCATGCAGGAGTCGCGGCACTCGTGTGAGACTTCCTCGCGCATGATTCCGGCGCCGCGCCCTCGACACTCAGGAATCACGCTCTCGCCTTGGCCTCTCTCACGATTTGCTTGGGCATCGCGCTGTCGCCCGCGACCTCCT